TCCAGTTTGTTGTTGAGTGTCACCCCCAGGAGGTGTGTAAATATTCACATGACCAAATATCTGAAATGTAGTTTTCAGCCAACAGTAGCACTTTAGAGCATGATACAGCTGAGAAACAGCAAAGCGACTCTGCTCTCTGACACACACTGACATTGTGGACACATTAGTTGTTGGTTGCTGTTTATTTTAGTTTACAGTGGTTCATTCACTTCCAACACTATGTCAGAAACAGATTTGAACCAGTGTGACAGGGAACAAAACCATATGTTAAAGAAAAATCCACCAAGACCACAATATGTGTGAAATGGATCAGGCTTTTTAACAGATACCTTGATTTGTGTTTTCTTACTGTTAGTAGTAGTATGACAGGATGTTTGATTATGTTTAGCTCCAGCAGCACCCTCACAGCTTCCTGCAGCCACAGTGGAGCCTCCTCCTTCAGCTGCTCCCTTACCTCCTCCACCAGCTGTTCCCTCACCTTCTCCATCAGCTTCTCCAAGCACGGAGCGCAGCAGCCGGCCACAGGTGGAGAAACCCCGTCGCTCCAGTGTGGACAAGGAGATGAAGCAGAGTCCAGATAGGTCCGGCAAGTCTCCTCCCCCTCCTCCTCCACGCAGGTCAGTTAATCATCACCTGCAGATCGGGCTTTCTGCTGGACTTTCTAACGGCTAAAACCTCTAATGCATTTTCATTATTTTAAAATATTTTCTTCCCAGGTTCCATGCTGTCAGCTCAGGTCTTACTACAGGAAGGTCAGGAGAGGTGATTTTGACCTCCAGGAAAGAGCCGGTTGGAGCCCAGGTATGTAATATCATCAACTTTTCTGGGGTAGCCAGCAGTGTCCCAAGTCCTAATTTGCAAGTTGTCTGAAATAAACTGATTCTTAAAACTAATAAATATTTGTTCTTCACAAATTTTGAGACACCTTTTTTCAAATAATACCTCAACATGGTGCTCATTGTTAGAGAGGCTTTAATACAACAAATAATAATATATGGAAGAGAATTTCTCTTTTGCATCTAGTGGTGAAGTTGCAAATTGCAAAAATTTGAATACAGCTCAGCTTTCCAAGCATGTAGGAGAAACTACGGTGGCTGTGAAACTCACGAAAAACACAAAAGGCCCTATCTTTCAGGTGATTATACACTAATAAAAACATACCGATGAATATTATATTCAATTTCTGACCATAGATCCTCCTAAATTAGGGGTCTTCGAAGTTACCTGATAAAGGCACAGAGCAGTGATGTCCTGTTATCGTGCATACGATAATAAGCTATTAAAATAATTAAGTATTGACAGATTCGTCTATTCATGTTTTAACTTTAAACGTGTGGAATTCATCTTTGCTCATTATTTGTTGAATTTATGTTAATAAGCATTTTCATATTTCCATTTTTGAAAAATAAAACGTTTTTAAAAAAAAAAATGTAAACGATAATTTGGTGCCCCTCTGCAGTGTGGCTAATTAACATTGACTCCTTAAAGTTGTCCAAATTACTCGTCTGGTCGACTTGAAATAAGTTGAAGTGACTTTGAAGCCTCCAGAGACATTGATAAAGTTCTTCTTATTGTAGATAGACCTCACAAAATTATGAAACTAAAGGCTGTGCCCCTTCTTAAAAATGACAAAGAAAAAAACAACAAAGTAGCTCAAATACATATTTCCTGCTTTTCATTCCTCCGTTTGTACTTAAGAATGAGGATGAGAAAGAGAAAGTGGTGGTTCCTCAACCCAAACCCCCAAGACAGCCACCAGAGGTCAAACCCAAACCCCAGATGTTTCTGGCCAGTTCCAGCCTAACCCCTGCCACAGACAGAGCACACAGGGACGAGGAGGAGGAAGAGGAGGAGGACAGCAAATTCATGAAAGAGCTGCAGGTATGTTCAGTAATTTGCTGTTTCTTAAAACTTAAGCAGATCAAATACTCTACCAAGAAAGCTACCCAGACCCAGATATGACAGGACTGAGCTGTCTATAGGATCTGTATTCATTGCATACCTGTGCCTCTGACCCAACTCGTCTCTGGGATCTTTACCCTAACTATGGACCCTCTCCCTTTCCCACCCAGGTGTTTCAGAAATGCTCAATGAGGGATTTAGGAAGCGTGGTTAAACTCTCAGACTCTGAGCTCCAGAGCAGAGAGAGGGAACCTAAGGTAAAAAGAAAATAAAAAAAACTAACAGCACTAATAATTAATGACTCATAATCCAAACAGACCTTTTAACTCAAACATTTGGCTCATCGAGGTGTTAAGTATACCTTTAAAAGATTTTTATTAAAGTCAACATTACTGTATTCTGGCAAAGTACAATCATGTACAGGACGGTTTTATGACTTACTCTGTCAGAAAATGATGATGATGGTTTAATCTACAATGAGTTAAAAATCTGAATTTGTGCTTGTTTTGTGGTTTGCGGTGAATAGTTTCCTGCTTCTAACTCACAACAGCTAGAAATTCTGGATTATTTGGTCATTATCTGATCTGATTCATAGGTATAAACAGTTGATAAAACAGAAACAATTATTTATATCATCGGAAAAAGTAAATTAATCATTGTATAATATCTGGCTGAACCTCCTTTGGCAGCAGTGACCTCAATCAAACATGCTACTAGTTTCAAGTTTTCTAATAAGTGTAGCAACTTCTGATCAAACCATATCAATCTCAGGTTTAGATTAACAGCTTCCAGTTAGTCATACCCACTTTTTGTTTGAGCATCACCCACATCTGTCTGACCCCCGCCCATTCCAAATACAGATATGATTATTGATGATTTAGTTGGTTGATCAGATACAGACAATGGTATACTCGCTCATCCCTAGGGTCTCCCTAGTCTTCCGACCACTCAAAATGCTTTTACACTACATGCCACATACGCCCTTTCACACACATTCACACAGTGATGGCAAAGCCCATCAAACAGATACTAACTCATTCATGCACATTCACACACCGATGACACAGCATCAGGAGCA